AGGGAGGTCATAACTCATAAGGGGATGGAATTATTGGGACTGATTACTTATTTGTACAACATTCATTCATCACTCGTTTTCCTCTATGATGTTTGTTAAAGTGGGTAATGATAATTCACTTGTGACTCTATAAACATGTTGATTTTAAATTTCTAACTTAAAACCAAATGATCCTGTTTTTGGTTAGTACTACATAGGTGAGAATAATAAAAAAAACATAACAAAAATAAGATCGATAATTTCACTTTTAATGTGTCAACTTCAAGCTAGATATACTTGAGACTTGCATACAAAATATGTTCACATTCCATTTGTGAAATGAAAAACTATATGAATAAAGAGGTTTAAAGTTGTAATAATAAAACTTCTTTTAATCCATATGCAGGGCTGTCTTTCAACAAGATAAGACAAGTTGTACTAGCTCTGATCTTTTTGTAGTAGTACACCCTCCTACTAAGGTATTTGTAATCTCTTACATATATAAACCACTGCACTACTTATGGACTCTTAGCCATCTTTGTAATGCTACTACCTAATATTTGTAATCTTCTCACACCTTTAGTTGCAATAAAACAGTTCTCCATACTGGGCACCATGCACGTAGGGCATTCCCAGCTAGTATATATATATGTGGCGTGAAAGTATACCTATATATATATATAAATGTAACGCCCCGAAACATACCCTAGAATTATTATTAAATAATTATTCGAATAAACAAATTTGTTTTGATTAAAATAAATTGTTGTTGGGCTTTGGGCCGATACGAAATATGTTTTGATATCTATTATCACACTCTGGATAAATTTCATAGAGATAAATCCAATATATTGACTTTTTGTGTGGTCTTGATTGGAAACCTGAGTACAGACCCAAATTAAGAATAAATGAAGAAATTGTTTATAATGTGAACTTTGAAATGATATTTTGAAATAAATCATAGAAATAAATAATATGAATTAAATGTGAGAACCTTTTTGAATAAAAGTCAATTAAATCAATTTTGACTCTGTCAAAGTCAACCACCCAAAAATATGATGTCGGAAAAAGTGTTACAAATAAATATAAAAATTATATTTATGGATAGAGTTTAACTGTCTGACCGCAATGGTGCAAACGGAATTCAATTCGGAGAAAGTTGGACCAAAAAGCGTACCCTGACTGGAACCAAATTGGTCCCAATCAGGGAACGGCGTGTAGATCAATTAGAATCGCCGTCCTGCCCACTAAGGAATTTCTACGTAGAAATGAGTCAGCTACCAATGTCTTCTTCCCCTTCTCTTCTTCTATATAAGGATACTCCATCCTTATCAATTTGGCACCAATGTTTTGGAAAATTATACCATTGTGGGGAGTAAGGAGTGGGGAGTAATCATCGCCAGAAGTTTCACCGGAAAATTTCCAAAACCTCCGTTAAGCTTCGAGGTAAGCCCGTAGATATATCTAGTGACTAGAATGTTCATATAGATTGTTTCTACGTTCATAAACGGTCGTTTGGTTGAGTTTTGTGTTTGACATGTTTGAAGAACCAAGAATCATAAACAATTAAATTGTTGTTAAAATTACGAATTAATGACTCTAAAATGATCTGTGAACATTGGAGAACATTTTTATATAATTAAATTGAAGTTTGGTGATTAAAAATGATAAT